TAAGTAGATGTGGTTGTTGAGGTTGTTGTGGTTCATGAGAATGGAGCGTGGTGAATGCATAGGTGGTGGTGGTGGTGGTGTTATTGTGTGGTGGAGATGTTGACGCATGTGTTTTGAAGCTGTGGAAGATTCTTGTGTGTTGTGGCGAGCACCATAGCGAGGACTGTGAATAGTAGTGTTAGAAGATGAGTGGATTTTGTAAAGGAAGTGGCTGGATGATTGGGAGATGCGCAGAGAGAGTAATTTCGTTGTAGGTCGTAGTTATCGGGGTCTGTTGTGGCACGTGGTATGTAGTGAGCGTTAGAGTGTGGTGTGTCACAGTTCGTTCGTGAAACTGCTTCTTTTTTGTAATATGAAGGTGAGAGTGGACGTGTCGTGCGAGACCGAATTTGAGGCGACGTCATCTGCCGCGGAAGACAGTGTTGGAAGCGCTGGTGCTTCGGAAGCCTCCAGTAACAAAGGACGAGTGGCGAGGGACGTGGTGGAGGAAAAGTCGGTTGCAGAGAGTAAAGTGGAGGGTGGTGGTGGCAGAGGAAAGGGTGTTAAACGCAAGAACCTTCGTTTGCAGAAGACGGCCACTGCGAAGTTGCGCCTCCCTGAACCTGCTGACATCATCGACCCACCACTAAAAGCTGACGAGCTTCTTCTGGCGTTGTCACAGAGAACCAGCGCAGACCTGCAACGTACCCACACTACCCTATCTTCTGATTCGTCACATGCAGTAATCAGTGTTTCTTCAAACACTTTAGCACTTACCTTTCAACGTAGATCTCCCCACAGCTTATCCAACAGCTGTAAGCGAATGATTCCTTGAAGGCAGCGGCTACTCTCAAATCCTCTAAAGACTCCTCACTATCGGATGATCGCAGTGGTTCACAGTTTTGTGCACAAGCAATAATCACAAAACACAAAAGAACAGCAGTCACTTTCGACGGTCTTTGCCAGACGCCAGAGCAGCGCCTTCTCACGCGGCAGAACCTACTCTTGCTCATCTGTTAATTAACACACCTCGGCAACACCTGTGGGAATCAAGCGTGCACACGCATTGACGTTCACGCTAGTGAATAGACATTCGTGGCTACGTGGAACTACACCACAATTGCCCCTGTTACCTACACAAGACGCATGTTACTAACCGCACATCAACGCTACTTTGCAGTGTAAACGTCTTCCTGAGACCGTGGTATCATAGGCAAGTACCAATCTATTGACGCCTCCGAGCAGTTCACTCACGCGATCACAGACCACCTCCTTGAATATCGTCGACTGAGTAGTGTTCTCGTCAAAAACTCACGAGAACGCAAATTCGCGGGACGACTGACCAAAGTTTGACATTGCAATCCACGTGTTTCGTTCCTCAACTGACGGCTTGATTATGACGGCGTTTGGACCGCGAGTAAACACTACTTTTGTTGAGGACTTTTCACGATTTTGAGGTTTGGTGCGTTGAAGGACTACCATTTGTTCTTGTTTCCGTGCGATAGTGGTCTCCCCTTCATCGAATTCCTTAAGGCGAGTTGTTAATTGACTCGAAATCGAGGAAGGTACGGAACCCAAAAGATGGATTACGAGGGCAAAGGAAAGACAGTGTGGCCCGTTCTTGGTATGATATTTTGACCAATGCATATTTGTTGTACTCTTTCACGTATCAATGCGCTGTTTGGATTTTGCGATTATGTTCATTGTTCAATAAAAACGCTTAATCGCCATACTATGTAAGGTCTTCCTTATATTTTGAGGGTTTTCGTATCTGCGGAGGTTCAGCATTAACAATGTTCACAACGGCGTTCCTCAGTTATATTAGATTTATGCCAACGTTAAGTTCTCCTCTCAAAATTAGGCAAATCTGTCTACAAGTCCAACAAAACGCAGACCATTTTCATCAAGCTCTGCCGCCCTTTGTGTCGTGAGATTATATTCCCAGTTGCAACGATTAGTAGAAAATGAATCACTTCGAGATACTGCCATGGTGAAAATGTGGGTTATCAGTGTTCAAATACATGTAGACTGCGGTTAGTCATAAACCCGGCGTTATCAGGTCGCTTCGTAGTAGTGTAAATATGGTGGCGAGTGTCGCCAAAATGCGCACCCTTGAAGGTCAATTCTCACCTCACAGACACCGGCATCGGTAACTCGCATATTTCAGGGCTCAGCAGAGAATGCAATGATACTCGAACAAACCCAACCCTTAACCATCAGCATGTTCTTAGAGAAAAAAATATCAAAGCGATACGATCACTCGTCTTGTCGAATTGTTCAACTGTTTGACTGGTTGTGACTCGGAAGTGCGGGGTAATGACTTGTAGCATTGCAGGCGATATATCGGTTTTAAGTTTGTAATCACATAAAGCGACCCGCGCACTTTGAATTATTACCAGCTTAACACTTTCCAAGGTCAATAGGCCGCGTTCGCTCGCACACGCATTTGCAGTTTCCACTTACATCAATTGGTTAGCCGTTGGAATCAAATCCAGTCCAATCCAAGTTGGGTGAAGTTGATCGGACAGATGGTTCTCGCGATGGTTCAAGGTTATGGCTTACTGAGCCTCAAATGCATTCCCCTTTTCGTTATTGCCTCCAAATAGAAGCATACCATATGTACGTGTGGTATTTAAGGGTGCGTATCTCAGTATGCTCGAGTAGTGCTACGAATTTTATGGGAAATTGCAAACGTGACAAGAAATTGCTCATTTTAAGTCTGCGGCTTGCGTTACGGGTTTGCATTATTGTCACTCGTGCTTTTTCGACAGCAAAATCTGCATGCCTCAGGTTATCCTCTGCAAATACTCAAGAAAAGTGCGAAACACCCTATTGTGTTTGCGTTTACTCTCTACATGACTTAGAAGAGGATGTTGCATCATACATATTTGTTCAAAAGCCTCTCTTAAAGCATAGCATCATTTTTAAGGTGTTCATATGTAATTTAGCTGCATAGTCCTTCCAAAACTAATTTTAGACTAAATTACTTCTCCATATACTAGACAGCACTTGTGCATCGTGCACAGTACCTAAATTGACCGAACATCTCTTGAGCGTAGCTCCTTCAAATCTGAGAGCCACCACGATTAGAGTTTAACTCACTCTATTAAAATGTAAAAAAATTAGTTAATTTTCAGTTGCCCGATAACTAATTGTAGCCCGAACATACTGCTTCTTTAGACGTCCTTTTGTGCTTCTCAGACCACTTTATATCCCAAGGCATCGGATACTGTTCTTCGCCCTTGTGTTGACCTTGAAACGCTGCAATGCGCTGGTTTAACCAATCAGTTGCGTGGACATTTAAGCCTTGACCCACAACAGCCTATAGGTTCAATTGTTTGAAAGGGATTAGTGGATGATGTGGGCTAAATTATTATCTCAAAATAACCAGTTTTCAAAACCACCTTATTCAAAGTAATAAAGCTTAAATTCTAACATTCAATATCCGTGATTCGTATTGAAATATAACTGAATTATTTTTTAGAAAGAAATAAAAAATGTTTATATAAAAATTCGAAATATATATCGGTCTTAATTAAAGCAAACTTTCTTTAACTGAAAAAGCCAGAGTTTGTTTGGATGGATGAACAAAACTTTGGTTTCTTTTCACTCTTACGTGGTTTAGCCAAAAGCAAATTATCACATGACGCTATGCCACATAGCTGAGTTTGTTTTCGTGGAAAAAATTTGCAGCAGGGCCTCTGCACATAACCAACAACTGAAAGCAACTCCGGTGCACCAAAGTGCATGTACAGGAGGTTGCTGTGACCATCACAGGCATTCAGCATTCTTTATTTCTTTATGTCTTGGTTGTATTTCAAGCCTTAATCCACAACGGCCTAAGGGTTCAATTGTTTGAAATTGATTAGTGGATGATTGGGATGTAGCGGGCCCCGGTGCGTTTTAGAATCCACACCAGTGTCGGCAATTTACACAGACAAGGCCCGACCATAAGAATTGCAGAAAATACTGAGGGGCGCGTGGCTCAACCAAGTTATTAAAGCAGTAGCGGAGTGTGTTGTACGTACGGGATAGCGAGTGCCTTTGCACGGCTTCGCTTAACATCGATCTCTGCATGCACGTAGTTGTGTGAGGTGCGTTCACGAAAATCGATTGAATCGTGTTCGCTCACGACTGCCAACTGTGCTCGCCTGCTGCTCGCCACAGGGGCCAAGTTACTACCTCAAAATGACCAGTTTTCAAAATAACCTGATTTAGGGAAAAAAGCTTAAATTCTGACATTTAATATCCGTGGTTTTGCTTTCACATTTTCAAAGCCCTCTCTTATGTTGACAATGTGCAAATCGGATTCTGAAAGCCCTGTGTGGAAAAATGCATATTAGCCAACTCTCCTCGCCCTGATCCTTGAAACTGACAGGAAGTGGAGTGAGCATCGCAATCATGTACAAAAGGAATGGGTGAAGCGTATGACGAAACACGCTTGCAATGGCTTCAATGGCATCGTCTTTAATGAGAACAGCTATCGGCCAGCGAGGAAAACGGTCCATGGAAGTTAGGACATAGATGGTAAACGACAAGGACGGAGAAGAGGTCCGATGAACTCAACATGTACATGTCGGAAGCGCGCGCGTCTAGGGTGGCAGAATGTGCATGTTACGAAATATGGTGCTCGTGAAATGTGCCCGGCTGTCATTGAATACGGAATTAAGCCTATAAACGATCATCCTTACTAAGGCTAGGCCAAACACAACTCTCACTTATCAAGAGCACTTAGCGCAAGCACCAGGATGTGGAAGTGAGTGAAGATGATTGCACATCTGCCTTACAAATGCGTAAGGCGGACACAATCGTCTACTAGCATCAGGCAAGTCAATTGTGGTTTTGTGCGTGCACGAGTGAGCGGATGCTGGGTGATTGTTAACAGTAACCAATGGAGAATAGGGATGGGTCATTGACCCAGTCAGGGCAGCTAACATCTTCCATTCATGAACACAATTAACTTGTTCCGAAGTTTATGGCGCACATTTGGATCAGCTCCCAGAAATGGCTACTAACATTTACGAGTGTTCCACCCAAGTAGAAGAAAATCTAACCATCTCCTCTGGTGTAGCAGCTAACAGGCAGCCAACCACCCACTAAGGTTGGATGAGTTATCTTCTAGACAGTGTGGTGAACTTTTACCGAACGAGCGCGAGTGACGCGCATTCACGAGTTGATTGAATGTCATCGATTGACGATTTGATTTGACGTTCGAGATGCACTCACGACCTGTGCTATAAAATAAGGGTGGTTAGATGTAAGTAAAGTAGCGGGAAAGAGGTCACTCTTGATTAGGTTCGTCGCACGCCAGCTGCGACATCGCCGCCACCACCAGTCCCCTGAATTTTGGCAGGTGGTGAGTGACCAGCACGAATGGGCTTGGCGGCCATTACTGAAGCAAGTACGCTGCCATCGACTTATTTGCAACGAATGGCCTTGTAGATGCGGTCCACGTTGTGCTGATATCGCTTCCTGTTCCGCATGGCGCGTTCCTTAACCTCAGTCAGTGACACCACCATATTTCAACTAAAACGGAATTTCGCCACGAGAGTTAGAAAAAATGATTGCGATGGAACTGTCTTTGCTTATGGACGAAGTGCCAGTTGGAAAACATTCACAATGGAGGTTCGAATGCGCAGGCATTGGAGTAGCTGGCTCTAAGCACGCCACAAACAAACTTGTCTTCATTCCAACTCCACGACAACTTACTCAGTTCGTTTCTGCAGTCACTATCCCTGGTCAAAGACAGCGACTATGAGCTCGGGATACTTCCGAGCCTTCTCCTCCAGATCCAAGGCAGGTGAGCGTCTCGAGTTCCGGCCCTCCACCGCCTCCTCCTACTCTACCATTCGACGACTCACACTCTCCAGCTCCACTTGAGCCTCAGCCGCTGTCGTGAACACAGCCTCAAGGCCACTCTCCAGAATCAATATCTCCATGTCGTTCGCCTCCATCTCATCCAGTAACTCCACTTCTAGTGCAACAAGACGCTCACAATTCTCTTCCGCCATCAGTTACAAACATCTACTCAAGCACTTCTCCCTCGACTGCTTCTCACACACCTCACTCCAGCCACAATGAAGCCATCAAACTTGTGCCTCTCCAGAGCAGCAAACAAAATTAACCTGACAGTGCTACACCGCTGCTGAAATGCCCACTGGTTGGAGGGATAGCTTGGAGCAAGAAGTGATGGTGATGGCGGATGTGGAGGTGTTGGAGTGTCTGGTGGGTGACTTCAAAGCGGCTTGCTGCGCTGGAGGCGCAAAGCGGGAGGAGGAAGAGGAGGAGGAAGAAGAAAGCAGAGTGGAGCGCGTGACTGCGGTGTGTGAAGCGAAGCTGGTTGGGCAGAAAGCGCAATTGGAGGGTCGGTTGAATGAAAGAGTGATGGTGAGTTGCCTCTATGGGTGTGCCTGTGCCTGTGTGTGTGTGCGTTGTTTTGTTGGAGGTGGTGGTGGTGGTATTAATTTTGGCACCAGAGTTAACTCAACTGAGATGGACGCCACTGGCTGTGGGTGTCTTCGGAGTTGGCCGGAGTTGTGTTAGAGTTCAGCTGGAAGAAGCGTGGGCGGTGATGTGGCGGTGGGAGGTTGATTTGGTGAAGTGTTGGTGTAGGGACGGAAGAGGAATGCGATGTTACTAGTTGTTTTGATTGTTGCTGTTTTTTGTTTGCCATTTCAGACGCATGAGATGACGATGCGGGATGTTGAGGCGAAGCATGCGTCACTGTTGGTGAGTGTGGTTGGAGTGAGGTGTTTGAGTGGATGTTTGCAATTGACAGCGGAAGAGAGGAGCGAGCGTCTGGAGGGTGACCTCGCGGCTGTGCGCATGACAGTGGCTGAAGCCCAGGTGGAGCTGAAGGGTCTGAATCGTCAAATAGTTTAGCGGAAGGAGGCTAAGAGGGCGGAGGAGGGACGAAACTCGTGGCGTTCACCTGCTTTGGGCCTGGAGGAGAAGGCTCGGAATTATCCAGAACTCAGTGTCGCTGTCTTGGACCTGGGATCGCGACTGCATAAACGAGCTGAGTAAGTTGTCGTAGAGTTGGAATGAAGGCGATGTTGTTTGTTGCGGGCTTTAATTTAGGTGGGTTTTTTATGCTGGTGTAGTAGTAGTGCAAGTGTGTCAGTTAAAGGGGCATTGTGAGATGTATGTATTGCATAGTGTCACTTCAATGGGAGGGTGAATGAAGGCCTCTTGTTTGGGTAGCCGTGCTTCCTGTGGTGGTGGTGGTGTGGAGTGGAGTGGTGGCAGTAGGAGAAAGACGAGCGCGTTGCTGTGATGCCTGTTGGTTTGTAGATTGCTGGAAAGCAGTACGAATGAGAAAAGACGCCTGCGACGAATTGTTCACGAGGACGAAAGGTGCGCCAAGGTGTTCCTTGAGGAGTTGGAGCGACTGCGTAGACAGGTGAGTGGTTTGTTGTGACGAGATTGTTTGTGTTGGCAGTCGTTGAAAATTTTGTGGTAGACGTAGTGCGAGTTGTCGTTTTGGGTGGTAAACACGTAGTTAGTCGAGGAAAGCACGACCGTTTCTCGCAGTTGGGTGTTGTTGTTGAGTTGACTTGCGTGGTCAGAGTTGATGTGTTGTCATTGTGCTTGTGTATTGTAGATGGTGGAGAAGAATGGTGCCATTAAGAAGCTGGAGGTGGTGGCACGTGCGCTGCATGTTCGTCAGGTTGGCGCGAGGCCGTGTGACGACGCCACCTGAAATCCACAAGTCTCCAAGACATCCGTCCAAGTGCCATCACACAAACACAAGCCACGAACACACTGTGCCACTGGCGGAACGTGGAGGTTGTGCTTGACGGAATGTGCTCGCATGACTTGAAATGAACAATTTCTTGTCACATTTGCGATTTTCGAACAATTTGTAGCATTATTTGTGCACTGAAGTTGAGCGTAGTAAGACGCCCACTTTTAAATACAACATGTACATATGTTATGCTTCTATTTGGTGACAATAACGGAAACGGAATGCATGGGTACCTCGAGTGCCTAGTGAGTCCTAGACGATGTGCTAGGACTCACTACCAATTGATGTGAGTAGAAA